TCAGATTCAGGTATTCCAACCATCACTATCAGTACAGGGCCCTGCCATTCGGTCTGTCGTCAGCTGCAAGGATTTTCACCAAAATCCTGGCGGTTCTCGCCGCACAGCTCAGGTTGGTACCAGTCCGCGTTCAATGCTACTTGGACGATATCCTAATCCAGTCGTCCTCGGCACTGAACGCCCGATCAGACGTGGCACTGACGATCAAGACACTCCAGGATCATGGATTTATGATCAACTTCTCAAAGAGCCATCTGAACCCAGCAAACCGTTTGCTCCACTTAGGCGCAATAATAGACACCAACCAGTGCCGAGTTTTCCTGTCTCAGGAGCGTCAGCTCAGCATACGTACGATGGTCACCAGGGTGCGCAAGGAGAAACGTGTAACTCTGATCCTACTGTCACAGCTGTTATGGAAACTGATCTCATGTATTGCCATAGTGCCCTGGGCCAGGCTTCATACGAGACAATTGCAGTGGTTTCTACTCCCTTACCAGAAACGGGGTGTAGCATGTTTTCCTCAGAGGGTGCGAGTCCCACCACAGACACTCACATCCCTCATCTGGTGGTTGTTCCCAGCATTGTCCAAAGGATCCCTGTTCAGAGAACCGACTCGGGTAACCTTGACCACAGATGCCAGTCTGTTTGGATGGGGGGCACATCTGCAATCCCAATTCGCCCAGGGGCGGTGGTCCCAACAGGATCTCAAGAAAAATATCAATTGGTTAGAGCTCAGAGCCATACACCTAGCACTTCACCATTTCCACAAGAAGTTGGCGGGCTGCCACGTGCTGGTTCTGACAGACAACGTGGCGGCAAAGGCCCATGTCAACAGGCAGGGCGGCACTCGATCACGGATTCTAATGTCCAAGGCCCAGTGTCTGGGGTCATGGGCGGAACAGAATCTGTTGTCCCTAAAGGCAGAACACATCGTGGGTGGAAAACGATCAAGTGGATTTTCTGAGTCGATCTACGATAGATCATTCGGAGTGACGTCTACATCCCTGTCTCTTTCGGGAGATAACTCACCGTTTCGGTCGGCCCAAAGTCGACCTGTTTGCATCCCCAACAAACGCCCAGCTTCCCCGGTTTCTATCTCGGTACCCATCCCAGGGTTCGAAGGGAGCAGACGCCCTCCGTAGCCCTTGGCCAGCGGGCCTTCTATATGCATTTCCACCCCTTCCCTTGATCCCGGCCATCATCAGGAATCTGTTACAGGAACGGGCAGAGCTAATTCTTGTGGTCCCATATTGGCCGAGGCGTCTATGGTTCGCGGATCTCGTGAACCTTGCCATGGCCCCCCCTTGGCAAATCCCTCCAGAGAGGATAATGCTAATGCAGGGAGTCATACGCCACCCGGACCCGCAGTGGCTACAACTAGCCGCCTGGTATCTGAGCGCCAGTTCCTGATGTGTGGATCTTACTCTTGAAGGGTGATAGCTATGATCCAAGCTTCCAGATGGCCAGCGATGAACTAGATCTATGATGCCACTTGGAAGAACTTCTGTGACTGGTGTACCTATAAGGGTTTGTCTATCTCTTCTGTCACTATTCCAGTGATTCTTGAATACCTCATGGATGGAGTGGATAAGGGCTTAGCACCCAACACCTTGCGTAGACAGGTGGCCGCTCTTTCCATGCTGTTCACCTGTGCCAACACCACTCCATTGTCCCATCATCCCAGGGTCTGGTCCTTTATGAAAGGAGTCTCCAACACCAAACCTGGTAGTACACAGGTATCCATCTTGGGAACTACCTCGGGTTCTGCAGGCACTCACTAGGTCTCCCTTTGAACCTATAAGGTCTTGTTCTCTTCACATTTTGTCCCACAAGGTGGCCTTCCTAGTAGCCATCACATCGGTGAGGCGCGTGTCAGAGCTGGTTGCTCTTTCAGTTAGGGAAGACCTGTGTACCTTCTATCAGGACAGAGTGGTGATGAGGTTAGATCCCTTATTCATTCCCAAGGTGAATACACTGTTTCACCGGGCTCAGGACATTGTACTACCAAACTTTTGTCCCAATCCTTCTCACACACTAGAAAAGCAGTGGCATTACCTAGATGTACATAGGGCATTGCGTCATTACGTTAAGAGGATAGCTTCCTTTCGCAAATCGGAGGCATTGTTTGTCTCTTTCCAAGGGACAGAAGGTTTCCTCCTCTACTATAGCCAGGTGGATCAAGGCCTGTATCTCTCAATCTTACCAAGCTTACTCTTTACCTGTCCCAAGCCGCCTGAAAGCGCACTCTACTCGTAGCGCTTCCACGTCGGCGGCGTGGCAGACTCAGGCATCCAAAGAGGACATCTGTAAGGTGGCTACGTGGTCGTCCCCTTCACCATTCATTCGCCACTACAAACTCGACAAGTTTGCTCCTGCAGAGGCCGCTTTTGGCCGTCGGGTTTTACAACAAGTGGTCCACTTCAGCAACAACACTTAACCAACCTGCTTCCCACCCGTGGGATCATAGGGGCTTTGGTATGTCCCATCTGTGCATTCTACATTCCTTTACATGCTGGAGAAGGGGCGTTGTCTTACCTGAACGCCTTTTCTCAGCATGAGGAATGTAGAATCCACCCCCTCCCTGATCATTACTAGCAGTTAGGTTAGTGTCAGCAGTTCGGAGCCATCACGTCACACAATCATTCGCTTCGCCCTTTTGAAACTGGGGCATGGTCAGACCCTGCAGAGACATGGCAACTTTGATTGTTTGGTCTGATTGGGCTAGAAGACTAAATCAACCCATCTGTGGATTCTACATTCCTCATGCTGAGAAAAGGCGTTCAGGTAAGACAACGCCCCTTCCAGCTGATTGGCACTTCTGGGCTCAGCAGAAGTGCCAGGATCAGTGCTACTTTCCAGATGATTGGTGCTTCTTCAGGGCTCAGCAGAAGCACCAGGATGAGCGCCGAGCTCCAGCTGGAGCCTTGCGCTGATCCTGGCACTTCCACTGAACCCTGACAGCCCCGAAGAAGAGCTGATCCTGGCACTTCCGCTGAGCCCTGACAGCCCTGCAGCTCCAGCCATCTCTCGCTCAGGCTTGTGCGGTGTTGCCACTGGTTCAGCTCATTCCCCTCCCCCGCTACTTTTCTAGGATGGTTGTGTACCACCTGCCAGGTGCCAATGTACCACAGGTGGTACCCGTATCACTGGTTGAAAAGCCCTCCCCTAGACCAAGGGAGATTGCAACTTATTTTTTGTTTCTTCCATTTGTGAATAATCGCACCAACTGTTGTCACCTTCTCACAAGCTGCTTGGCGATAGTCTTGTAGCTCGTTCCAGCCTTGTGTAGGTCTACAATCTTGTACCTGACATCCTTGGACAGCTCTTTGGTCTTGGCTATGGTGGAGAGTTTGGAATCTGATTGTTCTGTGGATAGGTGTCTTTTATACAGGTAACAATCTGAGATTAGGAGCACTCCCTTTAAGAGAGTGCTCCTAATCTTAGCTCGTTACCTGTATAAAAAACACCTGGGAGCCAGAAATCTTGCTATTGATAGGGGATCAAATACTTATTTCACTCATTAAAATGCAAATCAATTTATAACTTTTTTGAAATGTGTTGTTGTTTTTTTGGATTTTGTTGTTATTTTGTCTCCCACTGTTAAAATAAATCTACCATTACAATTATAGACTTATCATTTCTTTATCATGGGGCAAACATACAAAATCAGCAGGGAATCAAATATTTTTTTCCCTCACTGTAAAAAACTCTGCAACTGTTTGCAAGTTCGGGGAGCCTGCCATTAATAAACTTCACTTTCCCTGGCTCCATTTCTACTCCTTCGCACAACACCCTATACCTCAAATAAGATTTCGATTGCGCAGTCTATAGGACGATGAGGGGGCAATGTGTCACATTCCTTCTCACTGAATACCTTGTTTATTATTATATTTTTACAGGTAGTCCTCGACTTACAGTCATTTGTTTAGTGACCGTTCAAAGTTACAACAGCATTGAAAAGTGACTTCTGAGTGGTTTTCACACAACCATTGCAGCATCCCCATGCTCACGTAATTAAACTTCGGGTGCTTGGCAACTGGCATGTATTTATGACAGTTGCACTGTCCCAGGGTGATATGATCACCATTTGCAAACTTCCCAGCTGGCTTCTGACAAGCAAAATCAGTGGGGAAAGCCAGATTCGCTTAACAACCACATGATTCACTTAACAGTTGCAGTGATTCTTTTAACAGTTATGGCAAAAAGGTCATAAAATGGGACAAAACTCATTTAACAACTGTTTTGCTTAGCAATAGAAATGTTGGGCTCAGTTGTGGTCATAGGTAAAGGACTATCTATATTAGTTTTAATGTTTACTTGTGAACAGCCCAGAGTCATTAGTAGTTGTGTGGTATATAAATTTAATAAAATAAATAACTGGTATTACTTCTACACTTACTCAAGAAGGCAAACAGAAAAAAAATAACATTAAGTAATCATATATACTTCATTAGCTTTATAATCCCATTTCTTCTATTTAAAAAGAAATAGAAGTAATAAAGGGAGGGAGATGGGCAGTTAAGTAATATTAAATATAAATAAAATGAAAATGAAATGAAAATAAATAAAACAGAACCCTTTATGGATTCTTTGTTTACATATTATCTGCGTAATCAGCAAAGTACAGTTGATTATATCAAAATAAAAAATATTCGTTATTGTACAACTTGAAAGCCTTGCATACTTCTGGACTATAATAGTGACATTTATTTCTGTTGTATTGGGTTTTTTTCCTCTAGCATTCATCTGTAATTATGAAGCATGCCAGTTGTTTGGCTACATAACAAATAGCTGTGATAATTTGACTGCATGTTGTGATCTGTAGTGAGCATCTTATCATTTTCTGCAAAAGCATTGCAGTATATTGGCTTGGGGATAAGGGGAAGAAAAATAGTTTACAACATTCACTGTTATTAATTGCATAACAGCTAATTTATTGCCTGCAGCATGCATGTATTTGACTGATTCTTTCTTCTTTTTCTTCTTTTATCTTACTTCAGATGTTCATCAAGTATATAAAGGTTAGCAATATCTTCATAATATTGAAAGCCTAAAGCCATGAGTACACTTTCTGGCTCCGCACACTAATGCATGAAAAGAACAGAGCCTGCCAAGATTCCTTCTGTTGACTTTATGTGAAGTTTTATTTTATCTTTACTTTATACAAGTACTATTAATTAATTTTTCACTTTTCAGTTATTAAATACTTTTTATTTTTCAGGTGGAGTTGGTATCGCATTTTGGATCAGAACATTTCTGTCCTTTAAGCCTTATAAGGTATTAATGAAAAATATTTCTATTATTAAGCTAAATATGTGAATCCAGACAACACATTGTTTATTAAGCACTAATGATTTGTAATTATATATTTATATACATACACACACACACACACACACACACACACATACACACACACACACACACACACACACACACACACATATATATATATATATAAGATTTCTTCTTACAATATTTGGGCCGACAGGGTGCATCAAAATGCTTTTTATATCCTTAAAACGTATTTCTGTTTGATGATATTTACAAATATTATTCGTTTAGATGAACCAGTTTTTCAAGGCAAAACTATACAGTATTTTAATATATAAAGATCAGTATGAAAAAGTTGAAAAGTCAAGTCTGTTGAAAGATCCAATCGGGGTTGCTGTAAGGATCCACTTCAATCCACATCTTAAGAAAGCAGGACTCTTGGAAATGGTCTCTTCCAACATGAACTTTTATTAAAAGAAACTGATAGCGGGCATGATAGGCAGGATCTGAGGGATTCCCTCACAAATCGATGTTTTAAAGTGTCTCTAAGCAGCCCCCCCCACCCCACAGTTCTTCCGGGCGATTCAGACCGCGGATTTCTAGGTGTTAAATTCAGGAGAGATAACATCGATCCGGCTCCGTTGGCATGATCATTCAGCATCTCCTCACACAGATCCCAGATGCTGCACCTGGTCAGTAAGGAGGAGAAGTTCAGAGGCGCATAGGATGAAAGGCAAATGGCTATATTGTTATGGTTAGCAGATCTGAAGCGAATCAACAAAAGGTTACTTTGTAGTGAATAGAGGAAGTGAAAGTAATAAAACCCCCATGCATACCCCTCTCCCCCTTAGTAGTATGACAGGATCCAGGAGAGAGTAAATTTGGTTTTATATCAGAGAAGATAGATAGAAATGAAATATAACTGGATTCTGACATCCTGCCCCCCTTAAAAATAAGAGAGAACCACCTGTAAAGAAAACAAAACAGGTATAAAAGTTAGTCTGGCTTGTTAGGATACTCTGTATGAAACTTCTTTAATAGCTTTGGGGCTCTGACATGACGTTTATGGACCCACTCATTTTGTGAGGCAGGGAGGTGTTTCTATGCTACTAGGTATTGAATTGTCCCATAATATCTCCTAGAGTCTAGGATTTCCTTTATTTCAAAGTGTTGTTCTCCTTCCACCATGATTGAAGGTGGTGATGGGGGAATTTTTGGTTGTATGTGTGACTGTTCTCTTTTCACCAAATTGCAGTGAAAAATTGGGTGTATTTGCCTGAGATTTTTTGGGGTAATTCTAATTCTACTGTTACTGGGTTTATGATTCTTTTAATTGGAAATGGTCCTATATATTTTGGTCCACGTTTTTTACATGGTTGTAGGGATTTTAGGTATTTTGTAGACAAATACAACATTTCTCCTATAATGAATGGTATAGGCCAGGGCTTTTCAATCTTTTCACCCATTGTACCACTTTTAGGATATGGCAACATCCGAGTACCACCAGTCGCCTAGCAAGGTGTCAAAAACTTGATGACCCCCCAAAAAAGGAAAAAAGTGATAAAGTACAGGTAGTCCTCGACTTACAACAGTTCGCTTAGTGACTGTTCGAAGTTACAGTGACACTGAAAAAAGTGCCCCCAAGACACAGCTGAGCAAGACACCTACCTGCCCACCTGGTGGCGCTCTTCCTCCTGTCCGAGGTTTTCATTGTTGTGAGCATTTCTGTTGAGAATTGGCAGCAGGGGTGGGGGGTGGATGTTTGGTTTTTATTCCCCCCGTCTGCTGGGTGGTTGCAGCAAGGTTTGGTCACTTCACATGACCCTGGGACACTGTGACGATCATAAATATGAATCAGTTGCCAAGCATCTGAATGTAAATTACAAGACCCTGGAGATGCTGCAACATTCCAGCTGATTGGCACTTCTTCTGGGCTCAGCAGAAGTGCCAGGATCAGTGTTGCTTTCCAGCTGATTGGTGCTTCTTCAGGGCTCAGCAGAAGCACCAGGATCAGCTCCAGCTGGAGCCTTGTGCTGATCCTGGCGCTTCCATTGAGCCCTAACAGCCCTGAAGACGAGCTGATCCTGGCGCTTCCGCTGAGCCCTGACAGGCCTGCAGCTCCAGCCATCTCTCGCTCAGGCTTGTGCGGTGCTGCCACTGGTTCAGCTCATTCCCCTCCCCCGCTACTTTTCTCGGATGGTCGCGTACCACCTGCCAGGTGCCAATGTACTACAGGTGGTACCCGTACCACTGGTTGAAAAGCCCTGATATAGGCTCAACCTTTTTTTTAATCTGCTTGTGCTTTGTATGTTTGCCTGGCTTCATCTAGGGGCTTTTCTAACTATTGGCCAGGTGTTTTGTAATTGTTCTATCCATTCTTTCAGTGATGGGATCGCCGGTTCATTTGGGATTAGTTCTGGCATGGGGTTGAAACTTTGACCGGTGGCTACTTGAAAGGGAGTGTAGCCTGTGCTGGAGTGGACTGCATTATTGTGAGGCAACTTCTGCGAAAGGGAGTAGGTCCATCCAATTCGACTGCTGGAAATTAATAAAGCATCTTAAATATTGCTCAAGCACTGAGTTAGATTTCTCTGATTGACCGTTTCCTTGAGGATAATGACTAGATGTCAGTCCCTGAGTGGTCCCTAAAAAGGATAAAAATTCCTTCCAAAATGTAGATGTAAATTGCACTCCCCTATCAGATACGATGCGTTGGGGTGCCCCATGCAATCTGTAAATATGCTGCATGAAAGGTTTCGCTAAGGCTTTTGCGGTGGGAATCTTTTGGCAAGGGACAAAGTGCACCTGTTTGGAAAACAAGTCCGTGACTGTCCAGATGACAGTATTCCCATTGCTTCTGGTAATTCTATTATAAAATCCATGGCTATTTCCCTCCAGGGGGCTAAGGGATTTGCCACTGTTTGTAACAGTTCGGGAGATTTCCCATCCAACCTCTTTGCAGTTGTGCACATTGGGCAGCTGGCCACGTAACTTTCTATGTCCTTTTTCATGGATGGCCACCAAAATTGCCTTTTAATTAAGTGTAATGTTTTTACAAATCCAAAATGCCCTGCTGATTTTGTGTCATGGCAAAGCTGCATGAATGTGACCCTCTGGGTGGTTGGTGTATATAACTTTTATCCCACCCAAGGCAGTCCATCCTTAATTGTGCACACGTGTCTATTTTTCTGGAACCATTCATCTGTTTCCAAAGTTTTCCAGAATTCAATTCCGTTTTGGTTACCCAGCTGCGGTTTTAATTTAGCTTGGGCTCTGGGGGTTACTGGTGCTGCCAGTTGTGACTCCGCCATAAGTGGTTTAGAATCGTTGGCTCACGTGCTGTTATATTGGGGCATGCGAGATAATGCATCTGTCAGGAAGTTCTTTCCCCCCCAGCAAGTGCTTGAGCGTAAAGTGGAATTGGTGAAAATGTTGGGACCAACGGGCATGCTTAAGGTTGAGCTTCCTGGGTGTTTCAAGGCTTCCAGGTTTTTGTGGTCTGTCCATACATGAAAAGGGATCTTACTCCCTTCCAGGAATTGGCACCACGTAAGTAATGACCAATATATCCCATATGCCTCTTTCTCCCACACGGGCCAGCGCTGTTCTGTTTCGATGAGTTTCTTGGACATATATGTGCAGGGTTGCGATACCCCTTCATTGTTTTCTTGTAATAGTACAGCCCCCACTGCCACATCACTTGCATCCGCCTGTATTACGAGGGGCATATCCATGTCTAGATGCTTCAGTACTGGTTCGGCAGAAAAGAGTCTCTTTAATCTTTCAAATGCCACTTGGCATTCCATTGTCTATTTTAGAGGCTGGCTAGGTTTCACTGAGGATTCTACCTTCGTTTTTATTAAGTTTGTGAGGGGCAAATGAGGGAATGAATTGGCGGTAAAAGTTTGCAAAGCCCAGGAAACTTTGCAGCTGCTTTCTTGTGTGAGGTGTTGCCCATTCTAATACTGCTCTGACCTTCTCTGGGTCCATTTCAATGCCCTGTGGGGATATGCGGTAACCCAGGTAGTCTATTCTTTTGTGGTGGAATTCGCATTTCAATAATTTGGCATATAGGTGGGCAGCTCGCAGTTTCTTTAAAACCGCTCTGACTAGATTGACATGTTCCTCTTTGGATTCAGTGAAGATAAGCATGTTGTCTAAAGAAATGAGGACCCCTTTAAATAGGTGCTCCCTTAATACCTCGTTAATTGCATAAATACTGTGGGACCCCCTTGTAATCCAAATGGCAAAATTTTGAAGTGGTAGCACCCTATTGGGCAATTAAATGCAATTTTCCATTCATCCCCTTCCTTAATTCTAACATGGTAATAGCTTCCTTTAGATCTAGTTTAGTAAAAATTCTTCCTTTCGATAGGTGTGATAACATGTCCTTCATGAGGAGTAGGGGGTATAGGTTGCTTTTATTGATTGTATTCAATAGGCGATAATCTACGCATAAGCATAAAGAGCTGTCCTTCTTCTCTCTAAAGAGGATCCGGGCGGCCACTTTAGGCTTGGCAGGTTCGATGACCCCCTTTCTAGGTTTTTCTTTAGGAATCTTTCCATTTCCTCATTCTCCTTTGGGCTCATGGAGTATAGTCTGAGCTTCAGGAGTTTTACCCCGGGGTTGAATTCTATGGCACAGTCCGTGGGTCGATGGGGGGGAGGAACTCATCTGCCCTCTCCTCACTGAAGACTTCAGCAAGATATCTGTATTCCTCTGGTATTTCAGGCAGCCCCTTTTCTTCTCCCATGGATGCTTTTTCTGTTCTTAATTTTGGTAGATCTCCCTTGGGGTTTTAAGTCCGTAGGGTCCCCCTTCAGGAAATTGATTTCTGCTGTCCTCCAATTTACCCAGGGATTCCATTTCTTTAACATTCCAACCCAATGATCATTGGGCATTACATGCCTGGGGTCACTACGAACCTTATATCTTCCTCATGGTTTCCCAGGGATAGGTGGACTGATAAAGTGGCTAGGGTAGCTGACACCCCCCTGCTATGGACCCATCTAACTGGCCAAAGGAGATTGGTTGTTCTAGTCTCCTCACCGGAATGCCCAGATTCCTCACTAGCGTTGGGCTAATGAGGCAGTGGGTGCAGCCAAAGTCCATTAAGGCTTTCACCTTGACAGCTTCGGGCATGGAGGGAATTAATATAGTCACTGTCTTGAGGATGGGTGCGATGGGTCCACTTACCAGGGGTTCAAGCTCTGAGTTGTCGTCTGAGGCATCCACCAGCCCTGCGGTGTAGGCTGCAGTTCCTTCCCCACGTTGAGCAGAAGTTGGGGGTTCCACAGCCTCTATCGCTCTCATGACATGTTCTTTTGGCTTAGCTGGGGAGTTCCTGTATTTACTGGCCGGTGATCTGTCTGGATTGTGCTGGGGGGCTTTGGAGCGGCATTCTACAGCCCGATGCCCCTCTCTCCTGCATTTGAAACAGCCCATTGGCTTCTTGGCCATAGCCGGTGGCTTCACTGGCTCGCGCGTTGGCTCAGGTGGCCAGCGGACCCATGATCTTCCTCGGCGGTGCTTCTTCAGTAAGTCGATCTCTGCTTCCTCTGCCAGGATGTACCATTCGTTAGTGTGGGTCCCCCCAGGGCAGGCAAGAGTCCTACAGGTCGTAATTTAGGCCATCTTTGAAATGGCTAACGAGGATGTCTTCCGGCCACTTCAGTTTGCTGGCAATGGCCGGAATTCTTGTGTATATTCGGCTACTGGTCGTCTGCCTTGCCTCACCATTTTGATTTTTTCATGGGCTTTGCGATCATCCAGGGGGTCCTCAAATCGCCTTCTCAGAGAAGACATGAAACAGTTGAAATTGTTGAGCTCTGAGGCATCGGAATTGTGTAAATTCACCACCTAATCTGCAGCCGGTCTGTCCAGGGCGGATTGCACGATACGGATACGGGCTTTGTCGCTAGGGATGTGCCGGTCGTATTCCTCCATGTAGCTGAGGACTTGGGTTAGGAAAAACCCCAAGCATGTTGGCTCCCCCTTGAATTTTGCATCCAGCGGCGGAAGTCTGAATGGATCGGTACCTTCACCGTCATTGTATTGTCTTCCATCCGGATCACCATTGGCGGGGAGTGGGGGCTGCTGAGGTGGTCACTACTGGATCAGCAGATGTTCCCAGGACTGCAGGTTCCAATTCCCCCTCAGTGTCCCTCCAGCTGCAGCTCCACATGTTGGTGGGGCTGCAGGGCTCAGAATTCTCCTTCCCTAGGGAGCCGAGGGTTCTTTTCATCAGGTTGATAGCTTTCTCTAGGATCCAGTTCGAGTGCTGTGCCCAACTTCTTTCCTTTTCACTCACATGCAGGGATTTCTCCATCTCCTGCTTCCATTCTGGTTGGTGGGGCCCCCTGTCTCAGAGTCACCTTTCTTGATCTCTTTTTCCACTCGCCTTTCTTTCCAACGCCCATTGACCACCAAGGTTTGTGGTTATGCGTCTCCACCACCTCTTCTCCTGAGGAGTATGACATTTCAGATCCTGACAGCTATTCTATTTATTGCACTTATGTGACGCCTTCCTGTTGGTTGATTACTGTATTGCTGGCTGGTGATTGGCTATTATTTACTTGTGCTGCCAAGTCCTCAACTCCTAAGTATGTGATAAGCTGGTGATAAATATTGGCCTTTACTCCTGGGCCTGTTTCCCAGGCTTTAATCATTTCCCTGGCTATCTTTGTACTTGCATGGCCAACAGTCTTAGTAGATGCGAAATTGAATGTATGTCCTTGTTCATTGCAATGTGAGGTTACCAATGAACTTGGGTCTCCTCTTCTGACTGCTTGCTTGTGTTCTTGCAATCTGGTGGTAGCTTCCTTCCCATCTGTCTACATAGTCACAGGGGTAATCCATGCAGAAGATCTGGTAGATTACATTGGAAGTATCTCCCACCTCCAAGCAATCATTGCAATGCATGATTTGTCCTCATATGGTAGCTTCTGGGTGGGGTACAATGCAGATATCAGAAGCTGTGTTCTATTGCTTCCAAAATGTTTTTGATACATGGCGGGATGTGCCATATAGTTGGTCTTATACCTTCTTTCTTCATTTCTCTTCCTTGCATATTGCACAGGCATCTTGTAATAAATGCTTGTGGATAACCATTCTCCCTGAATTGTTCATGTAGGTAGCTTCTGGCCAATAGTTTAGCTTCCTGGGTACTACAGTGGGTTCTCACCCTACCATATAGTGTTCTGACACAACTCTTTTTATGTGATAGTAGATGGTTACTGTTGAAACTAAGACTGCTTGGAGTGTTGGTGGCCTTGTGATAGGCTGTGGTTTCTAGGCTTCCATCTTCCTGTCTGTTGACAAGTACATCTAAAAATAGTAATTGTCTAGCCGTTTCTTCCTCCATTGTGAACTGTATGTCTGGGAAGATGGGGTTCAGTAGGGTATGAAAGTCTTTCAGTGCATTTCTTTTGATAATGATAAACCTGTTGTCCACATGATGGCACCAAAATTTAAGTGTATAGTTTTGAAATATACAGTGTTCTAGTTCGCACAGGACAATTTCTGCAATGACTGTTGATATTGTGGATTCCATGGGTGTCCCTTTTATTTTCTCATACGTTTCCCTTTTGAATGTGAAAAAGGTATGTTGGCAATACTGGAATAGCTTCATGATTTGTGTCCAGGTTAGGTTGGTTTGATTTGTGTTGTACTCTTCTTTTAGTTTTTTAATCTATTACTTTGTATGCTAAGTGAGGAGGAATGGATATAAATAGGGACACTACGTCAAAGGAGACCATCATCTCATTAGGAGCCATATTTAAGCTTTGTAGCTTTGTCAAAAATTGCACAGACGACGTGATTGTGCTGTTTGAGGGTAGGTCAGGAAGCTTAAGCATTGTGCCAGCCATTTAGCCAAGTTGTAGATAGGGGTATCTCATAGCGCTACAATTGGTCTAAGGGAGACTCCTACTCTGTGTATCTTGGGGAGTCCATAAAATCTGGCTGGGGCGGCATCTGTTGCTTTTACTTTCCAACATTCTTTTTCCCTTATATAGTTGTTTTGTTTGGGTTGGCTGAGATAACCATTCAGTTGTGTAACCATCATTCTCATCTCTGATGTCTTTGGTAGCCCATATGCTGAGGAATCATTGAATAGGGTGAATGTCTTCATTTCGTAATCTGTGCAGTTCATCACTGCCATTGAGCGACCTTTATCTGTCAATAAAATAATAATGTCCTGATCTTGTTTCAGGTCTTTCAAGATGCATTGTTCCATTGGGCTGAGCATATTATTTGGTTTGTGTGCGACCAGCATTGCCAATATTTTTTGTCTGATAGTATGTTTTTCTGAGTCTTCTGTTTCTACTCTGTTGAATATGGATTCTAATTTATGCACCACATAAATATGACATATAGAATAGCCCAAAGCACACATTCTGGTAGATAGAAGGTCCCTGAGGATGGACTCCAGCACAAGTCCGAAAGCTTAGAAGACTAAACTTCTGATCTTGGTGACCAACCCAAATTGGATCTTGCAACATTATCCTGGGACACATATACTTGCCTTCATTTGTAGTCATGTCTGTGATAACCTTGACTAGTGACAGCTAGGGAAATGCATTGCACTTCAGTTTTATCAGTATGCTAGGATGAAATTAAGTCTTTTGTGTAAAAGGAAACAATTGTGATTTATTACTTCTTTAAATAGTTTAATTATCATATGATTTACAGGGTGTTTGGAACTAGCATGGTTGAAGAATATGAAGAAATTGCTGATTCACAATATCATTCTGAAAAACAAGAACTGATTGATGAAGATTATGGTAAGCAGTTGCTCATAATTTAAGATTAATTATAATTACTTAATAATTAAGGAAGGACTCACCTGGAAGACTTCATTTCATTTATTTATGAATTAGAGAACAAGCCTGAGTTAAAGAGTAAGTAGAGTAGCTAAAAGAACTACACAAGTGTAGATATTTATTTTTGTAAAAGGAAAACTTTAAGGAACTTACATTAAACAGTTAGAAAATGGATAACTCCCTCTAAATCCCATGTGCACACATTCATATTGCAAAGTTATTTCTACATTGTATTATGCAAGAGTACTGTGATATCTATCACAACATTCAACTTTTATTTACAGAGATGAGCAAGTTTGTGAATCCTCTTTGTTGCTGCCATTAGATTCTTCATTATACAGACTTATGGAAGTAAATCTTTACCCACTCAAAGGAGATCTTTGCAGACTTCATCTGCATTTAATTAAATGAGTTATTTTTATGGTTATAATACATCATAGAATATAGAATCATAGGGCTGGAAGAGATCTCAAAGAAGAGACCTTACATGATCCCGGTTCTGCAATCTAGTTTTTAAAACTTCTGGAGGCAAGCCATTAATTGTGCTCACTGTCAGGAAATTTCTCCATACTTTAGATTGATTCTCTCTTAACAAGCCTCCACCCCTTACTCCTTGTTGAGGATTACCTATAAATAGTATTAGGTGGCTTGGCCTTGTACCGGCCATTTGGCTTGTGCTTATTTTGTTGGGGGGGGGCGTCGGGGGGGATATTGGCTTTAGTCATGTCTGTGAGCTTTGGCTTGTTGATTATTCCCAGGGGTATTTAGAAAATGAAAAATACATTTTGCTTCAGATGAGAAAGAACCATTGGAAGTTCTGAATTGCAAATGCAGCACAGTAGAACTGGAACTTCTTGATAGTAAGTGTTTCAACTGAAACAAAATCCAAGTGGGTGTTAATAGGTGAGCAGGGACACACACATTGTGTCCTTCTCCTGTTCTCTGTTCTCTGCATGGACCACCTACTTATATTTATGTTGCCTTCCTTTTTGCTAGATGGGCACCCATAATTATTACAGAGTTGGTTAGTGGTTAGAGTCTTCATGTGTAAGATGGCTCCGCTCAATAGGACTGAAAATGTCAATCATTAGAACATCCCGAAGACATTCACTCTACAGATACAAAACCTATTATAAAGTGACATAATAAATAAGCAACCTTATACTGGTAAAAATATGCTTTAAAACACATGTCCTAAAATCCTTGTGAAATAGTAATTAAAACTGAATTCCAAAAAATAGATTTCAAAGTCATCCCAGTAAGTTCTGAGACCTAGCTACAGTTTGACAGCTCAATTATAATCCTTGAAGATTTTAATTTCATCTAAAATTAAGACTGGGGACAAGAATTGTTCAACATGAAATATATTATTTTTCTTTCCCTTCCTGCTTTTTAAATGTCCGGCCTGCTTAAGAAACTCAAGAGTTTTCAATTATTATAAAATTCATTTGGTTAATGTTATAGATTTTTGCTTTTTAAAACTATGCTATATATTACTGGGGTATTTAGAGAAACAATGTAGTGACTAAGAAACAAATTTCTGTGGGTTTTTTTAGTAAACAATCACAAAGTGGACCTAGAAAATATTTAAAGTCTATGCCAGTTATCGTAGTACTTCTGCATTCTTTAGTAAGGTCATTGGTTTAGTAAGTGTAAAATAGATAGACAGACAGATAGACAGATAGATAGTCCTCATCTTACACCCACGATTGCGACTCAAATGTTCAGTCATTAAGTGTGATGTCACTTGATTGTTTTGCTCAACAACCACTATCCTAGCATTTCCAGTTCTAGTCATTAAGCAATCCCCTCAGTTGTTAAGTGAACAGAGTGAAAGAGTTGCCTGCTGGAGGGTCTTGGACCTGCATAGATTTGAATTCCTCCAGCAAGCAGCTATTTTGCTCAAAAAGAGCTGCTCATAAAAGGGCTTATCCTTGAGCAGATCTGAATCCCTTTGGCAAGCAGCCCATTCGGTGAAAAGGGTCTGTCCCCAAATCCAAGCAGGACTTTGGTATGGAGTGTTTGCAGCCTGGGGCATTTGCAGCCAGCTTCAGAGATGAGAAGATTCCTTGTCATTTCTGAGGGCTTACTGCAAATGCACCATGTTGCATCTGTCTCAAAATCCAAGCAGTATTTTGGTTACAGAGCACTTGCAGCATAGGCATTTGCAGTTAGGTCTCAGAGCAGAATTTTTCAACCTTGGCAACTTTAAGATATGTGGATTTCAACTCCCAGAATTTTAAAGCCAACATGGGATGAGCATGGCTGGCTGGGAAATTCTGGGAGTTGAACTCCACATATCTTAAAATTGCCAAGATCAAGGAACACTGCTCAAGAGAGACAAGAGGACTACTAAGGACCTACCTCAACTAGGCCTCCCAAGAAAGCAGAACTCTTGAAACAGACATTGTCTCAAAAGGAACTTTTATTAGGGGCTAGTGCAGGGGTTCCCAAACGGGTGCTCACATCCCCTGGGGGTGTGAGATGATATTCCAGCAGGTGCAAAAACTTGGGTTTAGAAGTTTCAAAATTATAGTGTATATGCATAATTCGTTATTTTGAACTTTTGTAAGGGGTGTGGGAATATATCAGAAGCATTCTAGGAGTGCAGGGTATAGAAAAGGTTGGGAGCCGCTCGGCTAGCAACAGCAGGGAAAACAAAGTGAGGTCTGAGGAAAAATCTGTGCAAGCAGTATGTTAAAAGCAATATTCGTTACTCGTCTCGCCAGTGTCCATTTAAGTCCTAGCCAATCCACAGGTGGCATGTTGTTTTGGTAACTGGCTCCTTTGGCGTGCTCTTCAAAGTCTCCCTCGCTTTCGTTTCTCTCTGGCTCCAAGCGCAAACCGTCTCCTAGATAAGGGTGATGCATTTCTTCTCCTGGGGGAAGGACAAAGTGGCAAGACAGTGCAAAGCATCCCTCCTCCCAACAGAATGGCAGTCCCCAAAGAATGGTTACAAAAGCATGAATACTATAAGAAAAGAAGCAAAACATTTCTTTGGGGATCTGACATACAGCCCCTCCCTAGAAAAATGACAGATTCACCTGCAAAACATAAAAGAAGGAAAGGGGAAGAGAACAAACAATACAATTGCATTAATCAGGCTTATCAGGTTACTTAGAGTGAAAACATTTGAGTAATCAAGGGGCTCTAACATGTTTTTTATATACCCATTCATACTGAGAGCAGGTCCCCAACCTTTTGGGCACCAGGGACTGGTTACCTGGAGAGAGATTTTTCCATGGACCGGAGAGGGCATGGTTTTGTGTGCTGCCTGCATCCTGTGAACTGGTTGTTGGTGTGGACCGGTTGCTGCATGCCGCAGCCCAGAACTGTTCCACGGACCAGGGGTTGAGGACCTCTGTTCTGAGAGAATGGAAGGTTTCTCCATGCCACCAAATATTGTATGGAACCTTGGTGTCTACAGGAATCTAGAATGTCCCATACCTCAAAATGTTGTTCACCCTCGACTAACATAGGTGTAGGGACTGGAGGTGCAGGTGGTCTAAAGTTAGATGTAATCTCTGATTTGAGTAAGCTACAATGGAAAACAGTGGATTTGTCGTAGGTTATTAGGGAACTCTAGTTTGACAGTCACTGAGTTGATGATATGCTTAATAGGAAAAGGTCCAACAAACTTGGGATTCAATTTTTTGGAAGGCTATAGAGATTGCAAGTATTTTGTAGAGAGATAGACTTTGTCTCCAACCTTCAAAGGTTTCTACTTCACCCTTTTTTTTAATTGATCTGAGCCTTATAGGCTTCTCTAGTCTTATCCTACTTTTCATACTACTGGCCAGGTATTTTGCAACTGTCTAATTCACTCTTGCAAAGAGGGAATGTTAGGTTCTTTAGCGGGTAATTCAGGTATGGGAACAAATGTTTGACTATTTGCAACCTGGAAAGGGGTGAAATCAGTAGTTGAATGCGCAGCATTATTATAAGCAATCTCAGCAAAAGGCAACAAATCAGTCCAATTATCTTGTTGATAGTTGATAAAGCATTTAAGGTACTGTTCTAGAACTGAGTCCAGTCTCTCTGCCTCACCATTCATTTGAGGATGATGACTAGATGACAGCCCCTGACTAGAACCCAAAAGGTCCAGAAAAGCTTTCCAGAACTTGGAGGTGAACTGAACTCCCCTGTCTGAGATTATACATTGTGGGGCTCCGTGAAATCGATAGATGTGTTGCAGAAAGAATTTACCCAGAGCTGTAGCTGTTGGGATCTTTGGGCACGGGATGAAATGGGTCTGCCTAGAGAACAGGTCTGTAACCACCCAAATAATTGTATTTCCTGCACTTTCAGGAAGCTCCACAATAAAATCCATAGAGATCTCTCTCCATAGTACTGAAAGGTTTGCCACCGGCTGAAGTAGCCCTGGAGTTTTTCCTTGCTGCCACTTAGCTGTGTCACATGTGGGGCAGCTGGCTACATAGTTCTCTATGTCTTTTTCCAAAGAAGTCCATCAGAACTCCCTTTTAATCAGGTGTAGGGTTTTGACAAACCCAAAGTGTCCAGCTATTTTCAAGCCATGCCCAGCTCGCATCACTTTTAGTCTTAGAGCCGCTGGAACATATATTTTCTCCCCGACCCAAGCCAGATCGTCTTTTATTAAACATAAGTTCTTATAATTCCAAAACCACTCATCAGTTTCCAATGCTAACTTGAACTCTTGGACCGCCGTCTTGTCCAGTGGCATTGTAGCCCTGGTTTGTGTTCTGGTGCTAATTGTTTAGGGGTTAGCAGTGGTTAATTACTTCAGATTTTACATAATTGCGGCATTCTAGGCAGGGCATCTGCCAGAAAATTCTTCTCCCCAGGGAGGTAATGGATTGTAAAGTTGAATCGGTGGAAGTACTGAACCCACCGTGCTTGTTTAGGAGACAGTTTCCTAGGCGTTTTCATGGCTTCGAGATTCTTAAGATCAGTCCACACCTGAAAGGGTATTTTACTCCTCT